GATCCAAGGAAATCTTTCCTATTTCATTGTCATGGTCACTCATTCTCCAACCAATATTCTGATGATTCATTTTTTTTTCTGTTATTTTGATATTGGGAATGTGTTGTCCTATGTGTCTGAAGGATATATTTAGTTGGCTTGGTTAAATGCTTTGTATTGTTAATTTATATAATTATTTTCTTATTCAGTTTAGTTTCCTGAGAATTTGGAAGGTGTGGGAGTTCCAGAGACACAATATGAAAATCACTGTGCTCCTTCAACTTTTTTTTTTCTTGACATATTCCAAAACTTCTCTGTATTTTTTCTCTGTACTTACATTTCTCTCTCTCCCCCTCCTTACTTACATTGTCCTAGTCATTCCTTTCTGAGATTACCGTGGGATCTCTAGGAATTGCAGGGTAACACTATTACATTATGATTCCCTTTTCAAATACTCAGACCAATTGTCCATACCAGCACCCTCACACCTGCCAAACCACACACATCCTGATGTCGGATGCAGAAAACAGGTCTCTAGCAGATCATGCTGATTTGTCTCTAGAAGCAGTTGGCTTTTACAGCCAGTTTCTGGGAGGTTTAAAAAATATACAGATAACGCTGCTGGTGCTTTGGTATTCTGCCTTCAGTTCCTCACACATCCCGCCTCTTCTTTTACAAAGTGTAATTTCAACCCCACAGCCTTCTCTTAAGTGTTCTCTTTTGCTTGGCCTCACATCAGACCGCCATCTAATCTAGCCCAGAGATTTTTCATTAGGTTTCATTACAGGACGTTACAGCTTTCCTTGCCTGACTGTGCTCTCCATGGAGACTTTTCAATGACACTATTTCAAGAAATTAAGTGATTCGAAGTGCAGCAGTACCTACGCACATTACAATGTCAAATATTTAAGCCACATAAAACAGAAAAAGTCATGTTTAAAGATCCGAGCATGCTGACAGGTCCAAAGATGCTTTATTAAAATAATAAGGATTATGATAATAATAGTGATATTAAACAAGAGGAAAAATTTCCATGTTTTGAAAAAAACATATTTGTGCATTCCTTTCTTCAACAGACATTTTGTTATGGATCTGCCATATGCCAGGCCCTATGTAAGAAACTGATATCAAAAGGATTAAATTGTTTTTTTACTCCTTTGAAAATTGGATACACCATGATGAAGGAATATTTGATGGTATTTGGTTAAATCTATATCAAAAGTTTATATATTTTTCTACATAAAGAAAGGTAAATGGGTAAATGCTTATGTCTCTGTAGTGGCACATACATAACTTAGATAGAATTTTAGTAACTTGGCTATCCCCAGCTCTCCACTGTGTCTTCTTTAGGACAAGTCTCAGAATATTTTCATATCCAAAACCCACAGATCTATTCCAAAAGTAGTACTGACTAATGCAAATATTTGTAAAGTTTTCCCAAGTAAGTGGAGAAGAGATATTACACCCTACATAAAGCAAAGGCACTGAATATTCCATTTTATCATCTGTCTTCTTACCTTCATTTCCTCTACTTAGCTGCTTAAGCTTTGGACTCTCTGTCACTCATTCTTTCTATGTCTCTGTCTTCCTGTCTCTCTCTTACTTTCTATCCCCATCTCTAACCAGCCTTCGCTCTCCTTTTTTCCCTGCCTTCTTTTCTTCCACCTTCTCCCTCCTTGCTAGGCTAGGTCAAGGAAATCCCTTTGCTTATGCACAGCCATGTGGCCCTCATTCTGCTCCCTTATTTAGTATCCATGGTCCCACAGTCTCCCCATTCAGCACAAAAAGCATCTTTTCTGTACCCCAACATCCTCAGAAGTCAGAGACGGGAATCTCTTGGTAGTGGATATTGCTCGTTTTTCTTGCTGGTTTTTTTCTTCTTTGTCATAGTTTCTTTTATCACCTCTATTTGTTTGTTTGTTTGTTTGTTTGTTTTGAGACAGTCTCACTCTGTCTCCCAGGCAGAGTGCTGTGGCATCAGCCTAGCTCACTGCAACCTCAAACTCCTGGGCTTAAGCAATCCTCTTGCCTCAGTCTTCTGAGTAGCTGAAACTACAGGCATGCACCACCATGCCCAGCTAAATTTTACTATTTTTCGTAGTGATAATGTCTCACTCTTGCTCAGGCTGGTCTTGAACTCCTGAGCTCAAGTGATCCTCCCACCTTGGCCTCCCAGAGTGCTACAATTACAGTCTTGAGCCACCAGCTTGGCCATACCACCTCTATTTTTAAAAAATAAAATTATATTGTTAAATCCACAAAATCCTATAAGTAACTATTTTTTTTTAATGACAGCATATTTATTTTTAAAAAAAGAGTAGTAAAATGGAATAGTAAATTGGAAACCTAGGTGTCCATTTTCTCAAATTTAGCTATTATTTACAAGTGAGGCAATCATTTTGTGAATATGATAGGAGAACCATAGAAGTTTTAAGGTTGGAATTATTTAGTGCTTATAGTCAAGAATGCAAGTGGATTTTTGCTATCATAATAAACTCTGAAGTGAGGAAGTCAGCACCAATTGTAAAAATACATTTTGTGAACTACCATGCTAGAAAATACCTGTTTTCCATTAATTTCAGTACAGTACAGATTTTCTGTTTGCTTTAAAGTAATCTTCACAATTTTTGAAATAATGCAAAAACTATAGCACATTTTGCTTGCTAAGTTAACATACCAAATTGAACAATGTAATCTAATACAACACAGATATTTTTATTTTCCTAAAGAGACATGCCTTTCTATTTCCTGAGACATATTTTGGGATTTAACAAACTTCTGGTGTGGATAGAAACAAGATGGTTTCATTGTACTGTAAAGTATTAAGAAAACAAAAGCAAAAAATAACCTGTAAATAACTCTAAACCAAGCTGTGTGGTATTTTTTTTTTCACAGCTGGAATACTAGTTTTTATTACAGCTCAACTGGCATAGCAAATTAAAATTCATCTGTTTGTTAAACTGCTACTTAAAATGGCTTTCACCAACTGTTACAGTTGAATATTATGTTGTCATTTATGCATTTAGTGTGAATGGTTCAATAGCATGAATATTTAAAAACAAGTACACAGAAAAGTACTTTTCTCCCATTGGTTTTCAATAGATTACTAACTGAATTATGTTTCAAGTTTTTGGTCAAACTTGGCTTAATTTTACTGGTGATAAGGCAGCTGTCGATTGAATTAATTAAATGGTCTTTATAGGTACATTATAGCTATAGTTCCTGTTTATAGCCAAACAACTCTGTTATTAATTCTCTGATACATCACCCTGCAGATTTGCCACTTACAGAAGCTAAGGGATTTTGCAGTGATGATTAAACCTCCCCCATGCCGTGACACATTATTAACAACACAAAAAGGCAGTTTCCTTTTTATTTGTGTGTTTTAACATTATTTGTATTGAACACAAAAGCCTGCAAACTATTTTGAATGAATTACATGTTGGCATTTGAATATTTTTTAAATCATAGTCAAAAGGAAACCTAGGCCAAAGTTATATGTGTCCAGAACCACCTTATTTTATGTATTAGTAGAACAAAACAAGGAAAAGCACTCTTAGTGTCATAAAATATTGAAATAAAAAAGCAGAATATTAGTCCCTCCTTTAGTACCAATAATCCTAATTACATCCTTTGGGAAACCTTTAATGACATTCCAGATATATTTAATCACATCCTCATCTGAATTACTCTACCTCCTGAATTATTCTGTTGTAATTCTTACTATAATGGTCTTTTAATTTTTTAACTTTTTTATATGTCTGTCACTGAAGGAAGATAATGAAATGTATCCTATTTTGCATTACACCCAGAATCCGGCCCCAGTTTTTCTTACTCCATAGGCACCCATCACTATTCAAATATTACAATAGGATTTTTTTTACTTATCTGAACCAGAGGAAAAATAGTAAAAATGAAGGTGAATTCTTCTAGCTAAAACTCCTCTTGCTTAATCTTGAAGTCATGTTTTAAATTTGTTTATTTTATAACATTTCCCACTTAAATAGCCTCTCTGCTCCTAAGATAATAGAACTCGCTAGATGATAATATATTTAAAAGTAAAAGAAACTTCATGTTCATTTTATCCTTGTGATTTTCATGTATTAACTTCAAATTAAAACAAAATGAGATCTTATTATAAGCCCTATATTGAGAAAAAGGACTTAGGTTCAAAGACATAGGGTCACAATTTTGCTTTAGAAAATAAGAATGTGGTTACAATTAACCATTATTTTTGCAGGGTCATCAAAATTACAATTCATCTACTATTTTATAGAACAAAGAAATTCAGCCTCATTATGTAGATTGTTTCTTAAAGCATCAGATTCTTCATAGGCACTTAACACTGCAAAGAGTACAATACATGCTTAATTTATAACCCATTCATTTTCAAGTGTTTTATACTACCATCCACCAAAAAAGATGACAAGAGGAAAAATCTTTATGATAGCCGTATAGCCACCAGTAAGAAAAATGTTAACCTTTTCTTCCTTTAGTATCCCACTAGAACAACATTTTTACCTAGCATTTATTCTCTTAGCTATCCTAATCATATTGTACATTGTGAATTCCCAGAAAAATATGCATTTGATGTCTTCACTAAAATGTCATCTGACAGCTTGCTGTTTCCTGACCACTTAGACTTGAATAATTTGATGAATTCTATTTGTAGTATTGTTTAATGTTAGAGAAACTGAGGAACACAAAATGTAGGAGACAGACATTTATAAGAAAATAGCCAAAATAAAGCATTTTTGATGACTCTAGGACCATATTTGATAGATTCCAGAAGTGAGCTTTAAGGTAATTGCTAAGGAACGCTTATGATAATGGAACTATTAAGTAGAAAAAGACAGCAGAGATTGCATTTCATTTTTAAGGGATAACGTATTTGCCTTAAACTTTGGACAAATGAATTTTTCAGCATTAATATTTTTCTACCAGTAGATAAATACTATCCCATCCATCATATTTCATTAAAAAAAAAAAAACAAAAAAACAGTGGCAATATTATCACTTACCAACTGGGAAATAGTGTGTCCAACCTTGATGGGGTTTTTTTTTTTCTTTTTCTTCTTTTGAAACTGAAATAAAGGATTCTGAAGAGTTGGTTGCCAAATTTGCAACTTCATAAAGGAAGATAATCATGTCAAATCTGAAAGTTAAAAATAAAGAACATTTTGTAGTTGGTACAAAAGTAAAATTATTGCTTTATTAAGGAATATAATAAGTATAGTTTGAATCCTAGGTAGAATTTTTATATTATTATCTTTAGAACATATTAGATGAAAATCTTCAAGTATATCCTTTGAAGTATCTTCTCTAATCTTGGTACAATTTCCTAACTAGATCTTCACATCATTTTTTTAATGCTATTGAAGGAAAACTGTGTCTACATAAAGAAAGGAGGTAGTCTCTCTTTCTCTCTCTCTCTCTCTCTCTCCCTCTCTCTCTCTCTCTCTCACACACACACACAAAGTCTTTCTTGAGAAAATGGCCAAGTATCATGCCAAAATGGCATGATTATAGAAAGAACATGCCACATTGATTGGATGTGGGATAGAGGCAATAAGCATTTGTTTGTTTAGAAGTATAAACAGCTTCAGTAAAAAATAAAATTGTGATGTCTCATCCTTGTTTACATTATTCCATCACCCCCACATCCTTCTGATATTTTGCTTTTTCCAAAGCCATATCATGTACCATCCCATCCATTTGTTCATCCAAACATATCTAATGAACCTGTTTGCTGTGATAGTGCTTTCCCATATGGAACTTTGAGCAGTGAAGATTTGGTTACTAATAATCAATTCAAAAATTGTGGTAAGAATATGAAGGAAAGGAAGAAGGCCTATGGAAGTAGAAAACAAAGAGACATGAGCCAGTGTGAAGGAGGAAGGCACAGGCCCAAATTATTTTACCTAAACAGTTTATAGTTTCACTAAGGAGGTGCCATGTAGCTGGATCTTGATGAAGGAATGCTATCTATCTATCTATCTATCTATCTATCTATCTATCTATCTACCTACCTACCTACCTATCAGCTATCATTTTTTTAAAGCAGAGAAAGTAAGGCATTCCAAAAAAGTATCACACGCAAAAGCATCTAGTCTTAAAGGAGATTGCCATTTAGGGATGCAATCCTACAGGTAATAGGGAGCCCAAAGAAATATCTGTACAAAGGGAATAACATATGTAAATTTGTGTTTTGCAAAGGTAGCTCCTGTGGAAGTATGGGAATTGATAGTAGTAATGAGAAACTGTTGATAAAGAATATATTTTTGATAGTATAAGTGAAGTATAATGAGGGAGTAAGCCACTGGCTCTTTAAATTTTGTGTTTTGTTTCATAAATATAGCTTGGATTCATATTTAAAAACATAGATATGTAGACCTCATCAGAAAATTTATTAAGTTTAATACCACAGACTAATGCTCAATAGACTAAAACAGTGGCAAATTTAATGATGAAGGAGGCCAAATTAGTGACTTTTTAATTTAATTTAATTAATTTTTCTTTTTTAGAAACAGGCTCTCACTCTGTTGCCCAGCTTAGAGTGTAGTGATGTGATCACTTCAGCCTTGATGTGGTCACTGCAGTCTTGAATTCCTAGGCTCAAGTGGTCTGCCTGCCTCAGCCTCAGCCTCCCAAGTAGCTGGGACTACAGGTACACTCCATCATGCCTAGCTAATATATATATATATATATATATATTTTTTTTTTGTAGAAACAGGATCACGTAATGTTGTCCAGGCTGGTCTAGAACTCCCAAAGTGATAAGATTACAGTTGTGAGCCACCCACTACAGTCGGCATGACATTTTTAAGTATGTTGAATTGAAGATCCATTCATTTTTTCCAATATCTTAATCTTTACTATGTAGCAAGCATTTTCCTAAAAGCTGAGGATAGAGATTTAATAAATTATGACTTTTTCCCCAAAAATCCTATGGTCCAAACATTATTTTTCTCATAATATGGTCCATGGTCAACCTATATCAGAATCACCTGAGGAGCCTGATAAAAAATATTCATTCTTGAGCCCAATCCAGACAAAACAAATTAAAATTTTGGCAGAGGGAGGGAGGATTGGAATCTACAGGCATCTCAAATAGGTCTAATGCATGATAAATTTGAGAACCATTAACCTACTGTGATGACAGATAGAATTTGGGGGTGAAAATAGGGATGCATCAAAGTTGTTAGAAGTAGTACTTAGAAAAAAGAAAGTGGATGGTGATTCTATTAACTGAAATTGAAATTATAGGAGGCATCTTCATCATTGGAAGAAGATAAAATATTCTGAAGTATTCTCAAGTAGATGAATCAAGAAGGTTCTTGGAAATAGATATCTGTCACTTAGGGAACTAGAAATAAATATTTGGGAGTCAGCAGCACAGAGGTTATCACTGAAGCCATGGAGATTGATAATATTAGCTAGGAAAAAGGTTCCTGAGTACAGTGAGACTTATTTTAATGAATTTTTAAAAGAAACCAAGAAAAACTTATACTCCAAAGCAAGAAGAAACCATAAAGTAATCAGAAGGAAGTAAAAGAAGTAAATAAGGCATTTTCAAATTATATAATCTAACATTTGAGGGGTTGATCTGTCTTCAGCCCTCATCAGATTAAGAGGCTCAGATGATGGCATCAGGAAGAGATTTTCCATCATTTATTCTGTCCTCTTTTTTGGTTTCATTACTTACAATGTTCTCTTCTGCAGGTCCCATAAGGCTTCTAACACTTCCAGATCTCATATTTCTCAGGTCCATAAGTCCTTGCGGAGAGAGGAGCCACTCTCTCCCAGTGATTAAAACAAGTTCTGACCCTATCACTCATTGGTCAACTGTGTCATAGGCCCAAACATCAACAAATCACTAGAATCAGGGAAGTAAAATATACTGATTGGCTTAAATCACTCAGAGCTTACCACAGGAACAGAGGATAGGGTTAACCCCTACAATGGCCACCATGATGACTGCCAAATCACAGGACCTGAGATTCAGAAAGAGGATAGACTTCAAAGAAAATTTGTAATAGCCTTAGGAATTAGGAATGGAAATTAAGCAGCCAAATATAATAAAAATGTCAACTTCATCGGGTATTAAAGTCATGCATACAGCTCATTATTAAAAGAGTAGAACTTCCTCATCTTTTTGAAAATCAGGATATCACTTTCCTGTCTTCAGTCTCCCTGTTGCTCTCCCACTCCCTATTATTCTTCAAAGATCGGCAGTTTGGCAATATAATTTCCTACTTATTTCAGTACCCTGGGAAGTCACAAATCCTAACTAGGGTCCTTGAACTCATTTCAGACCTCTATTTTGGTGTCATTATAATGTATACACATCTGACTGTGAGATGCATTAAATATAACTACTCATTTCCATAATCATTCAAAGTTTTGCATTGTGCTAAATAATACTCAGTGATTTTTTTTTCACTTCCCTCTACGCTTTGTCCATAGAAGAATGGTGCTAAAAGGGCAGCCTTAGATAATTCACATAGCTAAAGGTCATGAAGTCGGTAAAGGAAGAATGATAGAGCTGCTCATAAAAGTAGGCAAGTGATATTAAGTTGAGGCTATTTGAGTTTAAAGAAACTGAATAATGAATAGGAAGAGAGAGAAAGTTTTATTGAAAAAACGTATATAACTTAAATGTTGGGATATTACAGAGTTATAAAAAAGTAAAAACATGATAAAAGAAGAAAGTGTATATATATATATATATTTTAGTAATGGAAAATATTAGACAGCAATGCACTAAAATTGTAATAAAATATATAGTATATTTATTTTATTCTTTATACTTTATTTTCCAAATTTTCTATGCTAAGCACATATAATCTCAAGATTAAGTCAAAAGAAGATAAATATCTATTTGGCTTTTGCTCTTATCCATCCCTCTCACCAAAAAAATAAATAAATTTCATTGCTTACCCCCAGATTTTTTTCAAATAAAAATGCACAAGAGCTAGAAACCATATCTCAAGGCTTCTTGTAGATAAAATGCACAACAGTCACTTCTTTGTTTTCCAATGAACCAGGAAATTTAGCTATGCAGAAAATGTCTGTGAAGATGGGGGAAATTACAACATAAAACATAGTAAAGTATGAGGAATGCTGTTATACATAAGCAGTACTTTTCAAAATGTTATTGACCTTGGAAAAATCATCATATAAATATAATTTGTTATTTTCCCCTGCGATAAAGTTATTAAGAAACTTTATGACTTATTTTCAGTGATCAATGACAACAAAAAGGAAATTGAAAAACCACATACAAGCCAAATCTAAACAAAAAGAAGCAGCACTTTTTTTCTAATTACATAATATGCCTGATCTGAACACCAATCGAGGTACTCTCCTTGTTGAAATCCTTGCCTCTTCTTGCCCAGTCGCTCCTTTTATGTAGTTCAACACATTCATCCTTCTTCTGCTAGAGCAATGTTCCGACACTTTTTTTCATTATCAACCTCCTAAGAACACCTGTTAGACATTTTTTTTTCCTAAATGTCTTCCATGAAATTTTCATATTACAGGTATACTAGGGATCTGTTTATTTACTATTTGTATATATGTGCTTTATACAGGGCAAGAGTAAGATTTTTCCTTTCTCAAGAACCACACCCTTGGAGTTGACATCACCTACACTAAGAATGCATGTACTAGACTGTTTTTCAAAAGAAAGACTACTGGTATTTGGGGACATAAAATTCTTCATTATACAAGACTGACCATAAATTTTAGTCCCCTCAGCTTCCTTGGATCCTGCCAAATAAATATCAGTTGTATCTCTAGTTACTGTGATTTTTAAAAAAAATGCTTTATGAGCAAAGAGACAAAGTTTCCTTACAGAAGAATTCCAAAGAATATATATGGATACTCCTTATTTAGAAGGAGGAGCTTTTCCCCTCCCCTACCAACAGAGGAATGAATTTATATTGGACTCCTAATAAACAGAGTAAGAAAAGGAAAAAATAAATAGTAACTTTACAGTAGAAGGACTTTGCAATCATTATGCCATAAAGTTTAGCATCTCCAGTGATGCCATGGAGCCCCTGATAGGATGTGAACAAGAAGAACATATTAGCTCTATGCTACTCTTTCAAAAAGCCATAACTCATTCTTAAATCAAGGGGCATTCTACAAAAT